TACAGGATCGCAAACCGAGAACCCAGTCGTCATACCCGAGGAGCCCGAGGAGCGATTCGAGTCCACCACGAGAAGTGCCGTGAGCCGACGAGGAGGACGTTGAGGAACTTTCGAGTGCCCCGATCACCGGCGTCCGAGCTCCTTCGAGAGGCAAGCCCCGGAGCATCTTTCTCTCGCTTTGAAATGATTTCATTAATCGCTTTACTTTAAATTGATGCATTACGTTCGGGAGTTGTTTGCAACCGTTGTTTGCATTATACCTTGTTTACCTTTGTTATACTATATCCTTGTTACCCAGGTATCCGCAATCGAGTCAATGCTTAGTCGGCTTAGACCGGTAGAAGTCGGGTGATTTCCGCCACCGCGAGCTATAGGTGGTTACTCAGATTCGCTTGGATGACTATGAAGTCATGGTATAACTAAGTGTAAATGAAGTTGAGACCGGACGGAGACTTGCGTAGTTTTGACCAGTAGTGTTTTCGTCTGCAGGTCGATTAAGGACCCACCGTTGTTGGGCCTCGAGTCATGTTGAACGATGCCTTACATTTAGTCTGGCGGATAAAGTACCTTCCGACCGCGAAGTGGGAGATTTTTCGGGCCGAGTAGATTGCCCATGAAGACTGTGTGCGGGCAGTGTGGTAGGACACGGGCGGGATGATAAGACCAAAGTGCGGTCGGTCGGCCCCGGTACATGTGGTTCTGGCAAACTCGAGATACCGGAAAGTTGACTCGGTGATCAATATCTCACTTTAGCGGGTGAGTGAGGTTTGTGTAAGGAATAAATCACCAGCTGGTTAGGAATCGATTCGAATCGCCATCGCTCCTGGATAGTGAGCACTTGACTTGAGTGACTTCATCGTAGTAAATGTTATGGAACACTTGGACAGTTATAGTGAATTTGACAGTATGGAAGTTGTTTAATGATCAGTGGTTATCATTATCTGCTTAATCATATGTGTGCTCTTGTATAGGTGCAAATCTAGTCGACAGGTTAATAATAATTAACTTGACAATAATGTTTTTTGAAGGGTTCTTGAAATGCTAAAAATGCTTCTTTTGCAAATGAGTCAGCTACCCTACTATAAAGCCCTTCATAATCCTTGGTGTCATTTATTTTCGGTTATGTCGGGTAAGTCTAGCTGAGTACCTTCTCGTACTCAGGGTTTTATTCCCACTTGTTGCAGATGGGCAGATGTATTACGGCTATTGTATCAACTGCCTTTATCCTGCGATGGGTGATGCTTAGGACCATGCGCATGGTCATTCCTTACGTCTCGTCTAATGCTTTTGTTGGAGATGATCATTCGCTGGCACTATATTTGAACTCCGCGTGAGTGTGTGTGGTTTGAACAAATGGCTTTCGCTACTTTTATTCGAACTGGTTTTGTAATAACTATGTTTAAACTCTGATGTATCTGAGATTGCGAACTTTTATGTAATATGTGATGGTGACCGCTAAACTTATTACGATCTTGGCTGGAATGGAAGTTGGTTTGAAATCCTTCGTGATTTCACGGACTACCGGGTTATACGGGCTTAAGTTTGCTCAATCGTCTGCTCTGGCGGATGATTTTCTTACTTAATTTCGTATAATTGGTCGGTTCTGTTACAGAGGCCAAGGAGACACAGCCGACCGCGCCCGTAGCTGGTACACAGCCTGCCTGCTTGGCCTGTGGATGGCCGCATCCCCGTCCGCCAACGCCTTGGACGTCGTGGACGGGTCTCCGTGCCCCAACGCTGATGGGTGGCATGAGATTCTCCAATGGCAGGAAACACGACCTGCGGCCGCCTCGACCGAGAAGCATCTTCCGCAGGCCCGGAAGACCCCGATAGAGCTGCACGACAGATGTTTCAACTGCCTTTCCTACTCACACCGAGTAGCGACATGCCGGTTGCCACGGCGTTGTCTGCGCTGTCACGACTATCGTCATCTTGCTAGGGATTGCAAGTGGCCCAGGCATACCATGGCGACGGCGTCAGAGGCAGGGGGTGGCGGCTCACGGCCCTCCCGGCACGCGCCACATGGTGACTCGGACGCAGCCGCGCAAGTGGCTGTGAAGGGCACCAACGGCTCCCGTCGACGACGTCGGTGGCGCCGGACCAAGCTGCCGAGGGAGATCAACATTGCCGTGACTGACAACGTAGCTTCTTCTACTGCCGCATGCTGCTCCCACGAGTCTGATCCGCTCACGGTGGTGCTGTGTGAGGGCGCTGGGCCTCTCGTATGGGTCGACCCGATGCTCGATGAGCTCACTGCCTCGCTCGTCGTGAGTCGATCAGCGGGTGCTCCAGCGTTTGGGCGCCCGTCTACTCCGACAACAGCCTCTCTGGAGGTTCAGGCATTGTTGGCGGACACCCGTTCGCCACCACGGATGGTTCAGCTTAGCTTCGCGGATGCTGAGGCGCCAGGGGTGGATGGTGATGATCGGCAACCGGACGACGACAACGTTTCTCCTTCGGCCCTCGCCAGGGAGTTTGCTAGACGCATCTCCGCCCCGCTGAAGACTCCCATCCTCAAGGCGCCACCCCGACGTCGAACCCGTCACTCTCCATCGTTGGTCACCATCCGCAGTAGCACGCGTCTTCAAGCGCAGAAGGTGCTTGTGTCCAAGTGAGAACCCACCGCCTCACAGTCGTCGGATGCTCAGGTAGTGGCAGACTTCCTGCAGACATTCCAAGGCCGCACTTCGAGTGCTTATGAAGTTCAACGTGACGGGGTTCGAGTGTATGTTCGAGGAGGCTTTCTAGTCTCGTTGGCACCTGTCCAATTGGTTGCACAATATTTATGTAATGTAATTTAAATTAGATATATTTGGGTAGCGTTGGCTTCTATCCTTCCATGATAATCTATGTATTACTTGAGGATGTTGTAACCAGTCAATCTTTACCTCTGCTTAATGAAATACACGTCGCAAGGACACGCTCGGGAAAAAAAAGTTAAACATTCGGGCCTCCAAACCGAGCCGTTCTTTTTTTTTTCAAATTCGATGCGGTACGGGTTCGAGGTCTCACCACCGTCGAAACATTCAGGCCTCCAAACCGAGCCGTTCTTTTTTTTCAAATTCGATGCGGTACGGCTTCGAGGTCTCACCACCGTCTTGCATCTCACCACCACGTATGGTTGGTGTGGACACGACACGCTGCCTCTGCTTGCGTGACTCCAGTCCAGATGCGGCCACCGTCCAGATGGTGCGCGACTCGTGCATCGAAGACAAATCGCATGGGCCGTGCGCGTGCGGCAGTCAAGTACTGTTCGTGTTCTCCGAAAATTCACCGGGCCTATCTCGAGATTCCACGCGTCGGTCGGACTAGTCGTTGTTCTTCCAAAGAGACCAAGCAAGAAGAGATCAGCCGGAACAGTATTTTTTTTTTACATAAACTAATCAGCAATACTTCTTTACGAATCAGCAACGATACGAACTAGCCAACCGAACAGACTGTAGGAGACTTCACTGACACGGAGAGCCGAGATTCGTACCCGTTTATCTGCCAGGGCGCAGATCACATTAGCTTATCATCAGCAGCTCATCGTGACAACATCGTATTTTCGAGATTATTGTTATGAAAGATATTATTGTATTAACAAATGCAATGGAATCTAATAAGAGATTGTTTTTCGTATTTGTCCAAATCCATGTGTGTTAAAGTAAATTAGGAAGAGATTATTTTTTGTATCTACCCAAACCCATGTGTTAAAGTAAATTGGGGTGGAACAAGAGTCTAGGTGATATAGATGAGTCGGCTAAGGAACAAGAGACGGTCGATAATTTTTTCCTATTTTCATTACTATTAAAAAGTTATTAGAGATGGAGAAAAAATAAATTCGCTGGTTATTTTATTAACTTGATATAATTATTTATTTAAAAACAATTTTTATAAAACCTCCGTACTGACATGCTTATTCCAACCCACGGTAGGAAGCATTTTTCAAAAAAAATCTCACGCTAGGAATAGATTACTTGGGCCTTATTTAGATTGCAAATTTTTATAATCTTGGATACGGTAGCACGTTTCGTTTGTATTTGACAAATTTTGTTCGATCATGGACTAACTAGGCTCAAAAGATCCATCTTATGATTTACAACCAAACTGTGTAATTAGTTATTTTTTTTTATCTACATTTAATACTCCATGTATATATTTAAAAATTAATATAATGAAGAGAGAATAAAAAAACTTAGAATTTAAATGTCATCTAAACAAGGCCCTATAAGCACAAAACGCATTCGCATCCCCGGCAGAAATATTCTGCTCGGCAGCTCATCGATCCTCAATGGCAGCTCAGAGACGAACGCCACCGCATCTTCTGGTCCACCCATGTGATTCTATCATTCTAATACCACAACGTGGGGCATGACCCCACCGACTCCACCCAGACTCACAGACACATGGTCCCACGCAGCAATAAAGCCGCAGACGGCCCACCGTCAGTGCGGGGGACCAAGCGTGGCGGGAAGCCAGCTGGCGACCACTCGCGCGCTTCGAGGCAACTCCCGTCTCCCCGCCCGCAGGCCGCTTATATCTTATCCACGATGGCAAGGCCCACGTTTCCCTGGGCTATTTACAGGACTGCCACGACCGGCCCGCCGATTTCCTCTCCGTCGTCTCCGGCGGTTACTCTGACGTTGCAATGAACAGCGCGACTTTGAAATTCGATTTGAACTGGGGATAATCTGACTGGACTACAACAGTTTGATTTGGGGTCAGCACATCGGAGTCCGGAAAAAGGATTAATGGAGAGCGACCAATTTACAAAAAGAGGAGAAGATGGAGGGAGGAAAAAGGAGAAAAAGAAAAGACAGCTGCTCTCCATTGCTTTCTTCCTCCAGCCCTCTCCTCACCAAGCAAAGAATTCCCCCCGGTGTTTCTCTCCTCAAGGAACACCTTAACATAACACATTTCCACCAAAAAAATCCAGATAAGAATGCCAATGTTTGATCCAGGAGTGGTGGCCGCGGCTGGGCCAAAGCGGGAAAAGAAGAAGAAAGAATTAGCACGGATCATTGTCGCGAGTTCTTGGATCCCCTGGTGTAGCCGTAGTAGGACAGGTACCACTTGACGAACTTCTTGAGGCCGACGTCGAGGTTGGTGGTGGGCTTGTACCCGAGCTGCTCCCTGGCGAGGGAGATGTTGGCGTGGGTGAAGGGCACGTCGCCATTGCCGGGCATCTCGACCACGTGCTTCTTGGCCTTGACGCGGAGGTGCTTCTCCAGGATGGACACCAGGTTGGGCACCGTGACGGGCGAGGTGTTGCCGAGGTTGAAGATCCTGTAGGGCGCCGGCCCGCGCTTCTTGCCGCCGGTGCCAGTGCTCTTGCCGGCCGTGTCCAGGGAGCCGAGGCAGCCCTTGACAATGTCGTCGATGTAGGTGAAGTCGCGGGCCAGGTCGACGTGGTCCCTGCCGCGGTACACCGTGATGGGCTTCCCCTGCAGGATGTTGCGGGTGAAGGAGAAGTAGGCCATGTCGGGGCGGCCCCAAGGCCCATACACGGTGAAGAAGCGGAGGCCGGTGATGGAGAGGCCGTAGATGTGGTTGTACGTGTGCGTGATCTCCTCGCCGGCCTTCTTGGTGGCCGCGTAGAGCGAGGCCGGCTGGTCGGTGCGGTCGCGCTCCGAGAAGGGGACCTTGTCGTTGAGGCCGTAGACGGAGGACGACGAGGCCCAGACGATGGCTGGCTGCGGGTCGGCGTCCTTGCAGGCCTCGAGGAGCGTGACGAGGCCGGCGATGTTGGAGTGCACGTACGAGGCCGGGTTCTCCATGGCGTAGCGCACGCCGGCCTGCGCGGCGAGGTGGAGCACGTGGGTGAAGGGCACGACGTCGAAGAGCTTGGCCAGGAGGTGGCCGTCGTTGATGTCGCCCTCCACGACGAACACCCCGTGGGAGGCGAGCAGCGCCTTGCGCGCCTTCTTGAGTGACGGGTCGTAGTAGGCGTTTAAGTTGTCGACGCCGACGACGCCGTCGCCGCGCTTGCGGAGCGCGATGGAGCAGTGGGTGCCGACGAAGCCCGAGGCGCCGGTCACCAGCACCGACATCCCGGCCCCGGCGGCGGAACCTGGGGGCCGCCTGGGCGCGGCGGACGCGCGGATCTGCCGCTCCCAGTGCAGGCCGCCCCATGACGCGGCGATGTACTTGGAGGAGGTGTCGACGAAGGACTTGAAGCTGAGGTAAGACGCCGTCATGGCGATGAGGAACAGCGCCCACAGGAACATGGTGCTGGTGGACGCGAAGCAGCGGTGGAGCTGCCGGTTCATGGAGCCCGCCCGCTCGATCTTCACCTTGCCTGGGGTGGAGGGGAAGAGGTCCTCCTCCAGCACCCGCATCTTCAACGCCGCCGTCTTGCCGTGCGACGGACGCCCGTGCGACCAGATGGATGCCTCTCCTCCTCCTTCTCGTCGCAGATTCTGCTCGCTTCCTCTACGCAACGCAAGGACCGCAAAAGGCGTCGCCGCGGGGCAGGGCCGGAGACGCAAGGGATCAACCCGCGCCGCGCTAGACGGATTCCGGCTCTCCTCTTCCGACTGATTCACTGGCCGATTGGTTGATTATTCCTTGCTCTCCCTGGCCGGATAGATGGATCGGCCGCCGGAATGATAGATAGGTTTCCTTCCTTGGGAGCGAGGAGAGCGCGCCCCGGGTCCAGGAAATTTTATTCGGGAGGAGATGAACAGAGGAAGAGGAACGGAGGGCAGGGGCTGGATGCGCGCCTGCCTAAGGAAACGTGGAGGTGGGACGGGGCGGAGATATAAATAGGGGAGCGGGTCCGACAGCGACGGGAGCGCGTGAACGCGGTGGCGGAGCAGAGGGCGCCGCCGCTGGTGACGAGGAGGGGCAGGTGGTGGCCGCGGCGGACGGGCGCACGGGCGGCCCGGGATTGGGAGACGGAGCGATGGGGGTCCCAGACTCGCCAGGGCGGGCGGGCGGCGCCTATTTTGGGGGTCGGATCGGACGCGCTATTTTTGTGTTCCAGGCTCATCACATTTATGAGCGTTTTTGCGCGTGGGCGTGAATGTGATTTGTTGTCATTCGTCTGGGGCTTGTTTAGACGATGGTTGGGAATCAGTATTGGATACTATAGTTTTTTTTTGTATTTGATAATTATTGTTTAATTATGATCTAATTAGACTTAAAAGATTTGTTTCGTAATTTACAATCAAACCATGTAAATATATCAAAGATTTAATGTGATGAAAAAAAAGTGAAAAAACTTGAAATCTAAACCAGGCCTGGCTAACGAGTCTGCGCGTGAGAAGATTTTTGTTTCCACGTTCAGATTGACGGTCTGGAGATGTATAGGGAAAAAGTAAAATTTGGCTCCAATCTACTAGAAGCAATAGTTTATTGATTTTTTTCTGGCACTTTATTTATGATGTCACCATGCCCGTCATTTTGTTTTTCTCGTCTATATAAAAGCTACTGATCTTTGTGATGCTGATAAGTTGATCATGTTGTTTTTTTGTCTATATAAAAAATACTAATATTTATGATGCTGATAAGTATCACTAGATTGATCATGAAATATATTTGTGCTAAACTATTTTAATATACAAATGTTGATTCTATTTTTTATGAAAACCAAATTTAGAATTGTTTGGCTTTTTATGAAGCGAGATTTTCATTCTTTTCCTGACGGAGGGAGTATCTCCGGTTGGTCATCGAATAAGAAGAGTGAAATAAAGTCCTAACATGACCTAACTCAGAGAAAGAAAAGGAATAGTTCCTCTGGTTCCAATGCGGCACTCTGATTTGTACTTTTATTATAACATACCATTTTCTAAAAGTGAAAATTTTCTATTTATAGAAATATTTCCATGATGATATGATAGCATCAACCATGTATCGTGAAGTATGTAACTTTTTGTATACCAATAGTCAAGTTAGAAAGTACACCATATACGATCTTAAAACAACCTATGTTCGAATCAAAGGTGATATGTGATAGGAGCTTATTTGGATACGAGGGCTAATCAAGTAGCTAGCTAAAAATTAGCTCAAATTAGCTCTATTGAATCCAAACAGAAAGGCTAATAGATGAGCTAATTTCTTAGACAACAAGTCATCAACTAGTTGTTAGCCAACTAGCTACTTAACCTTGACTAATTTGAGCTAATTTTTAGCTCAGCTAGTTATTATCCCTATTGCGTCCAAACATACCTTAAAACATATATTTGTTGTCTAAAATGCAGTACGTGTGGCATTGACACCGTATTATTAATTTGGCAAAGTGCGCAGGCGTATCAAACAGGTTGTCAAACTTGAGACATAGGGTTGTCAAACTTGACTACATAGGGCCTTGTTGTGAGAGAGAAAATAAAAAATAGTGATTCCGTGAGTTGGTGGGTGAAAGCTCTAGTTTGGTTTTGTTAATTGAGAAACCCTAAGAAAATTTATCAAGATGATTATGAGATAGCTAGCACTGACTCCAAGTGATGAAGTGATTCATGACAATGGTGATAGCATGGTGATGATCAAATGCTTGAACTTGAAAAAGAAGAAAGAGAAAACAAAAGGCTCAAGGCAAAGGTATAAAATGTAGGAGCCATTTTGTTTTAGTGATCAAGACACTTAGTGAGTGTGATCAATTTAGTTTTGGAGTGTAAACTACTAATTTGCATTTAGGATATAGTGGACTGCTAACACCCTTGAATATTTAGGATCCACATGCGCATGAAAATGGTGTCCCTCTCTCCCTCCCGCCGATTCAAGGTTCAAGTGTAATATTTATTCTATCTATGTTGTAGATGTACGTGTCAACATATATATCTATAAGAGTTAAATACACCAATAGCCCTTGAACTTGTAAGAGTGTGTCACCTAGGTCTATAAAACTATAAGCTAGGGACAACCATACGAAGTGGTAAGGGAATTGGAAAATATGTTAGAAGTGGCATGTGGGTCGTCATAGATTTTTTTTAGCAAAACACACCATAGATCTTTTAACTTTTGCTTCTGTATCGTCTAGGTCCACTAACTTTTAAAATGTAGTTTAGGGTCCCTAATCTTTTTATATAGTTATAAAACTATAGGTCCATACTGCTTCGAGAGAGAGTTGGATTTGACATGGCATGTGAGCAACCTAGAGACGAATGTTTCCTTATCAGTTGTCTCTAACACATGCAACAATCCTAGACAACTACTCCATCCGTTTTAATATAGTTTACTTTGGACTTGTCCGAAATCCAAACTTATCCAGTTTGATCAAGTTTATACAAAATATATTTATTTTTTCTAAAAATCATCAATAGAGAATTTTTAAATACAACAATAGCCCTTGATTGTAAGAGTGTGTCACCTAGGTCTATGATGTAAGCTATAAACTACAAACATTAAATAAAGTATATTGGAACAATGACATCAACTATAGTCAGTGGTTAGACGTCGTAACTCATAAGTACATGGGTTTGTGTAGGATCTCTAGTACACCAATCCTAGAGAGAGGAATAGGGTTACTTTTGGACTTGTAAAATCCAAAACTTTAACTTAAACTAAAATCAAATTCACCATTAAATAAAGTATATTGGAACAATGACATCAACTATAGTCAGTGGTTAGACGTCGTAACTCATAAGTACATGGGTTTGTGTAGGATCTCTAGTACACCTAGAGAGGGGTGAATAGGGTTGTAAAAATTTAACTTAAACTAAAATCAAATTCACCTACACACTGTCGCTCTATGAGCGCGGCACTGCCGCACCTGTAGGAGGGATTAGTTCACAGTTCAAAATCTACCCAACCAAATTTAGATAGGGTAAATTTCTTAGCTTTCTACAGTGTGGTAGATCACAGATTGACTGCTAAAAGTGGTGGGAACACCACACACAAGTACATCGACCTCAATTCTAGAAATCACCTCAACAACAACAAAAACACAAGTGAAGCAACACAAGCACAAGATGACACAAGGATTTATCTCGTGGTTCAGCTCGCCACCAAGGCTTGCCTATGTCCACGTTGTTGAGGTATACCACTAAGGCTTAGAGATTTGCAACCCTACCTCATTCTCAAGTCAAGAGAGTGAACTCTTGATATGAGGTGTGATTTTACTCACTGCAAGCGATGGTTACAAACCTCTCGGGGCTCCCACACAAGTTGGTAAGCTCCACGGGCGACGCTCTAGCTGGCTAGGAGCTAAGCTCCAAGAGTAACAAACACAACCGCCGGCTAAGACATGAACCAAGTGCTCTTTAGAGTTTAGGAATCAATGGAGATGCTCTCTTATCAAGTTTTGGACTCTTATCCCTCAAGGATTGATGGGAAAATCAATGGATTTGCTTGGAGGCTTAAGGTCAACAATAGAGTGAGAGAGAGAGCTCCTGCTCTGTTTTGAGTGTGCTGAAGTGAGGAAGAGGGGAGCAGGTTGGTTTGTTTTTCTATTTCTGCCGTTGGGAAAGAAATGGAAAGGTATATATACCCCCTAGGCCCCAACGGTCACTTAAATCATAGATGGTCGTTGGGGAGAAAAAGAAAAGGTATATATACCCCCAGCCCCCAACGGATATTTCATCCAAGAGGTCGGGCGAGATGAGGTCCGCGGCCTTGACATCGGGCGAGACGAGGCCGCCATCAAAGGGTCGGGCGAGCCGGAGCCTGCGACCAAAGGGTCGGGCAAGCCGAAGCCCGCGACCAAAGGGTCAGGCGAACTGGAGCCCACGACCAAAGGGTCAGGCGAACCAAAGATGGCGACCTTAGGGTCGGGCGAGATGGAGTCTGTGACCTAGGGGTCGGGCGAGACGAAGCTCGCCACCTAGGGGTCAGGCAAACCAGGAGGCCACGACCTTGGGGTCGGGGCGAGCCGGGGCCCGCGACCTAGGGGTCGGGCGAACCGGAGCCCGCGACCTAGGGGTCGGGCAAACCGGAGCCCGCACCTAAGGAGTCGGGCGAGTTGGAGCTTGCACCCAAGGGGTCGGGCGAGTCGGAGCTCGCACCCAAGGGGTCGGGCGAGTCAAAGCTCGAACCAAGGGGTCGGGCGAGTCGGAGCTCGCACCCCTAAGACAATAAGGATAATAGTAAAGTGCAGACTATCTTGGCTGTGAATATGAGGATACATGTGGTGGTTTGAGCACTTGGTAGCACATATTAGCTTAAGCATTGTGCCCCATTTATAGTACGGCTTTTCCTATACTCAAATTCAATATATAAAAGCATCCTTTGAGTTTGAAGCCATCTATATTTGTAGTTGGGGGCTCCTCCGTTTCATGTAGCATCCTCGAATATAAATTCTCTGCTTGTCATCTTGATAAATCTCATTAGTTCTCTAATTACGAGGTCATTATCACCAAAACCCACAAATAAGGCTTGATTGCACTTTCAATCTCCTCCTTTT